GTGGCCAGCCTCCCTGGACCCACTGGTTATCATTCCCTGCAGGAAGTCATCCATTGTCTTCACTAGCAGAGAGGTGTGGACAAGGATCCCTGAAGGCTGGTGACCCTTGAGCTCTGGCAATGGTCAGAGCTGTGCACCCACTGTTAGTCCAGACAATGGTAGCTGAAGCAACTTCCCCATTTATTATTATGTAAATCCTTGCTGATGGGCTAGTCTGCCTGGTAATGGGGGGTCGCCTGCCTAGGGGCTATGCTATGGGTGCATCCCAGATCAATAAAAGCTTGGTGAGGCCTGAGCACCAGTGGAAGTCCTTCCCATTGAGTTGGACTTGCCCTCCTGGTCCCCCAATATTTCCAATTATCTCTTGTCTCTTCTCTTTCATTTGTGTGCGGCTCCTCTTCCAGGTCCTGAACCCTGAACCACGCGGGACATGGAGGGAAACACACTCAACAACTTTCTGTGCATTTCTGGACCATCTGTGGTCTCTCTTGAGGTCAGCAGGTAAAAGCTACTGAAGGCACCAGGTATATCCTGACAGACTATGATCCTCCCTATGAATTATTCACCATGTAGTTGAATAGCAGAAAACTGCCTTGACAACTGGTATATTACGGTTACGTCATGGGTTCAGGAATCACTATATGATTCATTAAAATAATTCTGACATGGAAGGATGGAACAGAGTGTGGAAACTCAGAGGGAAGGTGAAAGAGAGTGGGTGGGTGGGAAGTAATCAACCAAAGACCTTGTATACATATATGCGTGGTCCATGGACACAGACAATGGGATGATGAGGGCCTAGGGTGGAGGGTGGGGTTGTGCTGAAGGGAGCCGATGGGGGGAAAAAAGGAGACATATGTAATACTTTCAACAATAAAGATTAAAAATAAAAGAAAAAATAATAATAACAACTGTAAAAAAAATATAAAAGGAAATAAGACGAGCTGAAGAGGAAAAAAGCTAAAGACATCCAGAGTTCCACACAGAGATCATTTTACAACTCCCCACAGAGAACTCCCAATTAGCCTTTTAATGCTCTACTATAAAATGTGAGCAGACAACCAAGGATCACTAGACATTAGCATGAGAGCTGGAGACAAAACCAACAAATAGAAAAAAAAAACTTGCAGAAGACAAAGACCTGCAGGAAAGGATACTAAATAAAATGTAATACATCCAAACTATTCTCAGTATAGAGAAACTAGAGATGCAAGTTTTTAAAAAGTAACATTCAAAATTGGCCAGTTGGCTCAATGGATAAAGCTTTCGCCTGCAGACTAAAGGGTCCTGGGTTCGATTCTGGTTAAGGACACATACCTTGGTTGCAGGCTCAATCCCTGGGCCTGGTTGGGGTGCTTGTGGGAAGTAACCAATTGATGTGTCTCTCTCACATCAATGTTTCTCTCCTACCTCTCCTGCTCCCTTCCACTCTCTTACACAATAATGGAAAAATATCCTTGGATGAGGATTAAAAAAAAAAATTCCAAGAACCAAAACATCTTAAATTAAAACATGATAGAAGAAATAAAAAAATAATAATAAATTCAGTGGAAGGAGTGAAAGATCAAGTTCAGGAAATCCTTCAGAATATAAAACAAAATGATAGAGTTGAAAATAGAAAATGGAAGAAAATGGGAGGATTGTCCAATCACAAAAAAGAAAAGAAGGAAAGAAATGGAAGCAACAACAGAAACAAAAACCAGAGGGCAGGTAGTTTTCTAAGAAATATGTCAAGAAAATTTCTCAGAAATGAAAGTTTCCAAATTAAAAAGGCCCACAATATATCCAGCATAATGGATAAAAAGATCCTCACAGACCTACATCATTGTGAAATTCTGGAAAACAGAGGGAAAAAAATCCACAAGTTTACCGAAAGACAAAACAAGTTTCCTATAAAATATTAACTATCAAAATGACATCAGGCTTCTCAAAATCAAACCTGGAAGTTAATATAATGTACAAATACCTTTAAAGTCTTACGAAAACAGTTTCAAACTAGAATTTTATGCCTAGACTAACTATTAATTAGGTATAAGAGTAAAATCATTTTTATACACTGGATACCGCAAAAACTTTGCCTTCTACGCACCCCTCTCATTATGCTTCTATAGCTCATAATTCCACCAACAAAGAAAAAGAAAGTATGAAATCCAGGACAAAGAATCCACACAGAGAGGGATAAAAAGAACTTTCAGGATAACAATAAAGGAGCATTTTAAGATGCTTAGAGTAACCAATCTAGAACAATGGTCAAAAAGCTCCAGAGGAGACTTCTGCAAGATGATACTAACAGAATTCCAATGTGAGCACACTTGGAAGAGTGGAGGTGAATTAATAAGAACAAAAAGAAAAAGAAAGCTTTGACTACAATTTAAATATTCACAATAATGTTAATATTGAATTGTGCTGTAACTATTCTAGAAGGCTGAAGGTGCATGCCTATGTAACACTGGGACACAAGAAGATAGAGTCAAATCTTAATCTTCCATAGTGGTAAGTCATTAAGAGAGTGTAAAATAGAAAAATTAAGCAGCAGCAATATAAGCATATTACTTAGAGAAATTGAGGTATATACTAGAAGAATCAGGTAAAAGAGCTAAAAGTATAAAAGTTTCTTTGGGAGAGGAAGCAATAGGAGTAGGGGTAAAAAATAGCAGGGCTATTGGTTTTTGTAACAAGCTTTGTAGAATTGCTTCATTTTTCTAAACAAAAAAAATGTGCATGCATAATTTTGATAAAATAAAAACTATATTTTTAAAAGGTAGAACACTTACCAATACACTTTTCTTGCTTTTTGAATAGAGGTAACTGTTTGGACTTCTTTTAAGGTTTGCTTTGTTTTCTTTTCAGCTGATTTGAATGCCTATTTATAAGAAAGAGTTTTTAAATAATTTGTAAATTTATTTAAATAACACCAAGCAAATGATAAGGCAAGAAACAGTTTTTTAAATATCAAAAATTGGCATTATCTACACACACACAGAAAAGTAATGAAGAAATGAAAATATTTTTTACTTTAATATTAAAATAATTTAAGTCAAAGATTTACTGTATACATGTATTTCCTCAAGACCTCCAAATTTATATATTTATAAATATATTTAGTTACCAGATACTAAGTGCCTACCATATAATAGGTTCCAAAATACATGCTGGGGACAAATCAGTGAACAAGATAAAGTTTGTACCCCAATGAGGTCTAGGAGAAGAGACAAATATAAAACACATAATTATGCAAATAATGTCAAGAAATGAGGTTGGAGAGGTAGACAGAGGGCTAAGTCATGAGGGCCACTCATTTAACAGATATTAATGTACCAATGTTCCAGGCAATATTCTAGGGCTGGGATATAGCAATGAATAACAGACAAAATCTTACTTTCATGCAATCCACATTCAAGAGAGAAAACAGATAAATGGGTGTTGGGAAGGGTGTTTTTAAAGAAGAAAAGCAGAGTAAAGATAGAGTAATTGAAGACACTATTTTTAGTAAGAGTGGTCAAGAAAGGCCTCCCTGACATCTCATATAAGTAGACATGAGAATGAGGGGAGGAATCAAACCACAGAAATTTCTAGGGAAGAGCATTCTTGGTAGAAAGAGCAGCAAGTGCAAAGATCGTGAGAAGGTAACATGGACCACTGTTGCAGGAACAGCTAAAATCCCAGTGTGGCTAGAAAGAATGTGTAACAGGAGGAGGGCAGGTGATGAGATCAGAGGGGAGCAGATCATATAGAACCTTATAGACCAAAAGAGCTTTGGATTGTCTTGGCTAACATGAAAAGCTTCTAGGAAATTTTGAACAGAGAGAAATGACTTTATTTTTTATTTAAAAGGATCACTATGGCAGCTGTGTGAAGAACAGACTATAGCAGGGAAAGGGTGGGAGAGTAACCAACCCAGTAAGAAGCTACTGCTATAGTCCATGAAAACACGTGATTGAGACCTGGATCAATGAGAAGTGGCCAGATTCTGGTTATACTCTAAAAGAAGAGCCAAAAAGATTTGCTGGTGGACTGCATATGGTTTATGAGAGAAGAGTCCTGGATAACTCCAACATTTTTAATCTAAGCAAAGGAAAAAATGAAGATGCTATTTACTGAGATGGCAAAAACCGAGGAGGAGCAGGTTTGGGGGAAAAGAATAAATACTGGAAACACATTTAAAACAAAATTAAATTTGAAAGGTATTTCTGAATTAGAAAACCTCATTAACTAGTAAACATAAGAAATCATTAAGGCCATTAAATTAAGGTAGAGAAAAACAATTAACATTCACTCTAAGAAATGCAAAGTACCTTCTCAGCAGCTTCAACAGTCTTTTGTGTTTTCTTAGCAGCATATCTCTTGTGATCATAATACCTAGAAAAACACAATTCTCTTAAATTTTAAGCAAAATCTCTATTCTTTAGTTTTCTATTTGTTATTTCTATTTTATAGGTTCTTAAATCATACAGAACAAGTTTTGTGCTTTATGCACCTATATTTTCTATGTTCCATATGAAAACCAAGTTGTAGAATGCACATAAGATTTAAAAAAGAATTTATTTGAAGTTTCCAGGAGGATTACTGTTTTGAAAAATAGTAATTTCTGTATTCTTTCTTACAATAAATATAATTTTATGACACACTAAAAAAAGAAGGTATTTTCACCCCAAAGTATAGACAGGCAAAATAACAATATTTCTTATCCTTTAATACCCTGAGTTATTGCAGATAATATTTTGCCTAAAATTTATACTTTTAAGACTCACTTTTTGGCATTGGCATATGCTGATAAACTGAGATCAACATCAACAAGTAATGGCTTATTTTTCTGAGGCTTCTGCAGCTGTTTATTCTTTTTCTTTTTCTTTTTTCCCTTTGGTGGTTCAGTTTCATTTTTCTCAACACTGATGTCACCATCAACATCGTCATCTTCCTCCTCTGATAATAAGTATGGATTTCTATTAAAAATATTCAATAGTATTCACTAATGTCAATGACATCACATTTTTTTTATTTTCAGTATATTCCTAAATGAAATCATAAATGATTTACAGCAGCGATTCTCAACCTGTGGGTCACGACCCCTTTGGCGGTCGAACGACCCTTTCACAGGGGTCGCAAAGACCATCCTGCATATCAGATATTTACATTACAATTCATAACAGTAGCAACATTACAGTTATGAAGTAGCAACGAAAATAATTTTATGGTTGGGTCACAACATGAGGAACTATATTTAAAGGGCCAAAAGGGCTGAAACCGGTTTGGCTCAGTGGATAGAGCGTCGGCCTGCGGACTGGGAGGTCCCAGGTTCGATTCTGGTCAGGGGCATGTACCTTGGTTGCGGGCACATCCCCAGTGGGGAGTGTGCAGGAGGCGGCTGGTCGGTGTTTCTCTCTCATCGATGTTTCTAACTCTCTATCTCTCTCCTTTCCTCTCTGTAAAAACTCAATAAAATATATATTTTTTAAAAAATAAAGGGCCAAAAGGTTGAGAACCACTGATTTACAGTATTTAGTTTGTATTACTTTACTGCAAATTAATTTTTTCTGTATTGTCAAGGATAAATTTCCAAACAAAAGAAAAATTTTAAATGAATACAGTGAACAATTAAATAGCAAAATAAAGGCAAACATTAACTGCTTCACTCAAAATTATACTTACCTACCCTGGCCAGTGTGTATCAGTGGTTAGAGCATTAGCCCACACACCAAAGGGTCATGGGTTTGATTCCCAGTCAAGGGCAGTAACTGGATTGCAGGTTTGATACCTGGCCCTAGCTGGGCGTGTGAAGGAGGCAACCAATCAATGTGTTTCTGTTTCTCTTTCTCTCTCCACTCCTCCCCTTCCTGCCACTCTCTAAAAACAATCAATGGAAAAAATATCCTCGGGTGAGGATTAACAAAATAAATAAATAATTTAGACTTACCTTAGTAGCATTGTAACATGATTTGTTTGTAGTTTTAATTCTTTGATTGCATTTGCAACAGGGTCTCCTTGAGCTTGGGCTTCTTTCACAATTAACCCAATTTCTGTCCAATCTATCTGGTTGGCTAAAGCACTTCGAACAACCTGAATGGCTCTGTCAACTATTTGTAGATTCATTTCTATGAGCTCTCCTTTAAGTTTATCTATTTCCTTAAGAAATAAACCAAAAACATTTACTATAATGCCAGTTAAAGTTACCATTTTTCAGAAAGCATCTGAAAAATCTAAACATAATACCTGAGCCTGTTGAAGAGCTTCTAATCTGTTTTCGTGATCCTTTCGGACATTATCTAATTTCTTCAATGCTTGTTTTTCCTTTTGTTGACAAAAAAAGATTTTTAAAAAAATTAGATTTCTCCCATATCCTGCACCTTCTCTCTCACCTCCTGAAACTCATTATCCTGCCCCGATATCTGTCCCCTAGCTAGCTAGAGATCCCCAAAGTCCACCTCCCCAGGTCTATACTACCCCAAAGTGTTTCACACTCCAAAACTAAGTCATGTCTAACGACCGCCTGTTCCATATTTGAAAGTAATTTGAATACAGGTTACATTGTATGTAAAATATGCTCCTAGAGCCTATCTTTTCCCTCTGGCAGAAAAGTAAAACTTGGGGGAATGCATTCGTAGCCTAAATTACCCAAATTGCTTCTTTTTATTTCATTGCTGCCTTTAATTTTCTTAGTCTTATTCCTAGTATTTTATAGACTGTCTCCTAAATTAACAACACAAAAGGTCATGGTAACTATTTGATCATCTATATAGCATTTTATCACATATAATTTACATTTCAGGATTTTTGATTTGGGGGCAAATTTTCTAACAGTAGTAACAGCATTACCAATTAATGAATGTTTGAACGCTGGATGTAGTATTAAAAAATGTTAATTATAAAAATGGTGACTATTAAAAGAATGCAAAATGATTACTAAAATAATTCATGGGTATTCTAATGCACATAAAGGAGATGGAGTTCAATGTCACTGCTTAATATTTATTTAGTAGCTAAAGTGCTGGCACCATGTGGCAATCACAATATTTAATTAATTTGACCCATCTGCTTAGAAATTGTGCTTTGTTAATTATTTTAAAACTGAGGGGCAAGGAGGATACAAGAATTCACATAATTATAAACTGTGCACACATATTATAACACTTTATTAATATTTTTGAAAAATCACATCCTCTTCAAATCAAGAGTAACTGTGGCAAATTTCTGAAATCATTCTTGAGCAAATGTTCCAAAAACATGGTCACATGTGCTGGAAAAATACAGCATATTAAAACCTCCTTGTAGAGTCATGATACACAAAAAAATCTATCTTTCTAAAATTTATTTTAAAAAATTTCAATTACAGTTTACTTTTAGTTTTATTTTGTATTAGTTTCAGGTGTACAGCATAGAAATTAGACAACACCTTACAAAGTATTCTTTACAAAGTATTCCCCCCACCTGGCACCCTGTAGTTATCACAATATTATTTATTATATTTCCTATGCTATAACTCCCTGTGACTATTTTATAAATATCAATTTGTACTTTTTAATCTCTTCACCTCTTCCACACGGTCCCCAACCCATCTCCTCTGGCAATCACCAGTGGGTCTCCACACAAACCACATTAAAGGTCTAGTTTAGAAGTTCACTCTGCCTAACCCACGGACACAGACAATAGGGTGGCGAAGGCCTGGGCAGGGGGTGAGAGCAGTGTAAAGAGGGTCAAGGGGGAAATCTGTAATACTTTAAATAACAAAGATAAATAAAAAATGAAATAACAGTTTAATGATAAATAAAAATATTTATTTGTATAGAAAAAAACTTGTCCCTCTCCTTTGACCTATTTAAAAATCTTCTCAAAACAGTATTACCTTAACACCAAAATTTAAAAGGTTTGGATTGCTTTAATAAAGCAAATCATACTAGGGTATAAATAACAGGTCTCATCTTCCCACTGTATTTTCCATTTTAGAGAATACCCAATATACAATGGAACAAATGAGGGTATACTTTTCAACACTGGAGACTTCACCTAGATAAGTGGTTCTCAACCTTCCTAATGCCACGACCCTTTAATACAGTTCCTTATGTTGTGGTGACCCGTAATTTCATTGTTACAAATTGAACATAATTAAAGCACAGTGATTAACCACAAAAACAATAAGTAATTATATATGTGTTTTCTGAGGGTCTTAGGCGACCCCTGTGAAAGGGTTGTTCGACCCCCCCGGAGGGGTTGCGACCCACAGGTTGAGAACCGCTGACCTAGATCGTTATCAATAAACTAAAAGATCAGGGCGTTCCATACACTTTGAAAGGCTGCCCGTTCTTATGAGAGCATCATCTACCCAGCAAACCACACTAAAGTTAGTTAGTTTAATATAAATGTTTTAAATACCATACCTGTTGTAAAGCTTTTAAATCTATTTTCTGACCTTCGATCTTGGAATAAAATTCATCCACAGCCTTATTAAAACAAACAAACAAAAATAACTAGTTGGAAAAAAAGGATAGTCTCTACTTCAACTTGCATACATAGAATTTTTGAGTCTATTTTGTTTATAACACCACTCAAAGACATAGCTAAATAATCAAGAATCAAGTTCACATTTTTTATCCTTTATCTTGAAATAAAGTAGCAAAAAGTTTCCAACAGTTTGTTATCTATGACTGCACTGTTCTGTAATGTTCAGATTTATAGTGATTGAAAAGCAAAAATATTTGCAATTTCTCAAAGCAAGCTGATATTAATTCAATAATTTATATCATGCTAACTGGTCAAAAAATAGAATCTGAAACCCACCTTGTCAAATGATTCAAATTCTATATATGGACATTGTGAATGTTGAGAAAACAAGAAAGGATGAAATTCCTCATACCTGTAAAACATATTTACTATATCACATTCAAGAACATTAATAAACATCTAAAATAAATTGATCCATGCCTACATGCTTACGTGAGTATGTCTTCAGTTGGTTTATCTACTTCCAGGCTTGGTTTTATTTCTCTTTTCTGAATGATATATCCCTATAAAAATCCAACATAAAATTCATTTCTATCCATAATTATCAAAGATTTACTTTTTATGACTAATGGTAATTTAAGTTATAACATTTTCTAGTTTTAAATTTATTAACTGCATTGGTCTACAGATTATAAATGAAGCTTTTCTTAGACTCAAAGTATTATTAGGAAACATTGTTTTTTTCACATGCACAAGAAAAATCAGGGAATAAAGAAAATGGAAACTCATGATTTGATAAAATGGTGGGATTATACAGCTGCATTTTGCTTTCTTCTTTCCATTTTTAGATGTGGTGCAATTTAAATAAATCAAAAGCACTGCCAATAGAAAAACAGATTTCCTTTGTTGGTAGGCAATTTTAATTCATTTAAAAAACTGAGCCCAGCCAGTGTTGCTCAGTGGTTGAGCATTGACCCATGAAAAACCATTTCCATTCCGAATCAGGGCACATGCGCGGGCTGCAGGCTCAATCCCCAGTAAAGGGCGTGAGGAGGCAGCCTATTGATGTTTCTTTCTCATCAGTGTTCCTATCTCTCCATCCCTTACCCTTCCTCCCTCTCTAAAATAGTAAAAACATATTTTTATTTTTTATTTTTTTTTATTTTATTTTTTTTCCTCCACTAGAGGTATTTTACCTCTCCTCTCCATTTTATTCCCTCTAGGAACTTTTAGCTAACAAAGCAGTTTCAGGTGTAAAATCTCAAAGTTAAATGTTTTCTTTCTGTAAAAACATATTTTTAAAAAGATATTAAAAACAAAAACACAAAACTGGGCCCTGGCAGGTGTTACTCAATGGTTAGAGCACTGTCCCAGGCATCGTAGGGTCACAGGCAGCCTATTGATGTTTCTTTCTCATCAGTGTTCCTATCTCTCCATCCCTTACCCTTCCTCCCTCTCTAAAATAGTAAAAACATATTTTTATTTTTTATTTTTTTTTATTTTATTTTTTTTCCTACACTAGAGGTATTTTACCTCTCCTCTCCATTTTATTCCCTCTAGGAACTTTTAGCTAACAAAGCAGTTTCAGGTGTAAAATCTCAAAGTTAAATGTTTTCTTTCTGTAAAAACATATTTTTAAAAAGATATTAAAAACAAAAACACAAAACTGGGCCCTGGCAGGTGTTACTCAATGGTTAGAGCACTGTCCCAGGCATCGTAGGGTCACAAGTTTGATTCCTGGTCAAGGACATGTATCTGGGTTGCAGGTTCGATCTCTGGTCATGGTAGGGAGGCACCAATCGATGAGTCTCTCTCACATTGGTGTTTCTCTCTCTCTTCCTTCCTCCCACCCTCTCCCGTCCACTCTCTCTAAAAAACTAAACAAAAAAAAACCTATATATATCTCCTCGGATGAGGATTAACAAAACAAAAAGAAACATTTTAGGCAGGTACATTTGGACTAAATTTAGATGTAATTAATCAGAACTGTCTCTTAACTTTTCTGGTAAATAAAGTTATACTTTGAATAGGGAAGAAAAACAAAAGATCTGAGGTAATTCAGAAGATGTTTAACTGTTAAGGGATGTAAATCACCAAATTTTTGAAAAGTGCTGGCAAATTAAAATGTGCTTTGCTATTAACCTAATGAGAAATATTTTCAAATTCCTCTTCTTTTCTGGAGGGCTAATACTGATTTAACCTAGTACTTTCTATACAAGGCAAAAAAGCAGAACAAAAAATTACAAATCAACAGCAATTAAAAAAAAACCCCACACGAAACAGCCCAGACTGGTTTGGCTCAGTGGATAGAGCCTCGGCCTGCTGACTGAAGAGTCCTGGGTTTGATTCCAATCAAGGGCATGTGCCTCGGGGCAGGCTCAATCCCTGGCACTTGCCGGAGGCAACCAATGATGTGTCTCTCTCACAACAATGCTTCTGCCCCCTCCCCCCTCCACTTTCTCTAAAAATCAATGGAAAAATATCTTCGGGTGAGGCTTAAAAAAAAACCCCACCAAAACAACAACTACCCTAGCCCTGGCCAGATGGCTCATGTCCTATGCACCAAAAGGTTGCCAGTTTGATTTCTAGCCAGGACATATGCCTAGGATGCAGGCTCAATACCCAGTCAGTACACATATGGAAGGCAGCTGATCAATGTTTATCTTTCCACTTCCCTCTCTCTCTAAAATCAATGAAAGCATATCCTTGGGTGAGGATAAAAAGAAAACTGAAAACAAAAATCTACCCTAGAATAAGCATATTACTAATGTTGAATTTCTAAACTAAAACAAAAAATGTACATATGTTGATCTTTAGTGAACATTTAAATTCTAAAAATATAAATAATAAAGCCACTATAATATATAAGTATATGTGCTGCTGCTACCTTTCCTCTGAAGTTGGACGTTGTTTTCATATAGTCTTCTGCTTTCTGCAGACAAACAAGTACTTTTTCAATATCTAAGGAGAATAAAAAAAGGAAAGGAGTGGTAATCAAGATGCAATTAACTATTATTAAACAACTATGCAGAAAACAGGACAGTGCTTATAAGAGTGTTTAAGAAAATTAAATAGTTATTTCATGTTTGTTATCAGCATATGTAAATAAGGATGTTTTGGCCAGCCTGTTATCCCAATAGCTTTTATTAATTCCATCTTGCCCCTCATAATCTGAAAGGCACTTTGTTCATATACTAAGTTCCCATATATATTTGGGCCTGTTTCTAAATTCTTTGTATTTCCTCTAATTTTTTTATTATCCTAATCTGGCAGGTAAATTAGGTTCCCTTAAATCAGGGTGGGGAAACATCTGGCCCTGCCAAGGAAACCACAGGCAGAACTCGAAATTCAATAAATCTAGGAGTATTTTTCATAGCAACATAATTTTTAAGTTGATAATTCTGAATCGCCCTCAAATGATATTATAAATATCCAAATGGCCCTTGGCAGAAAAAAGGTTCCCCACCTTTGCCTTAAATAGTTATGAGAGCCTAATGTATATAGCCACACTAGCGTACTTACAGAATTAAATGCATGAATGCTGATATTTCTAGACACACTCCAGCTTGAGTCTGAAGGTGAATAATTCAACTCCTTCAAGCCTTGTACCAAAGACTATCTCAACATCAGTTACCACTTTTACAATTTAGGGGAAGAGTCCTGGCCAGTGTGGTTCAGTTAGTAGGAGCAGCAGCCCATATAACAAAAGGTCCTGGGTTCAATTCCTGGTCAGGGCACATGCCTAAGTTGTAGGTTCCATCCCAGCCCTAGTCAAGCGCGTTTGGGAGGCAGCTGATTGATGTTCCTCTCTCCCATCAATGTTTCTCTCAAACTCTTTCTTGCTCTCTCCCTCCCTCCCTTCCCACACTCTCCCTCTCTGTAAAAATCACTAAAAATGTCCTCTGATAGGATTAAAAAAATTTTAGGGGAGAGAAGGAGAATATAATAAAGTTGAAAGGCAATAAGGTAGGTCAAGAGATTACCCTACACATTAACAGGGAAAAAGAGCCACTTTAGAGTAGGAAGCCAGGAATACCACATGGATAGAACACTCACAAGTCAAATGTTTTTAAGTCTAGAACTATACTTACTCACTACTTCCCCAGAAATAATTTTCATAGTTTTAAAAAAGGAAATAAATAAACATGGACGAACAAAACTTGTGCCATGCAGACATACCCTTACTTTCAAATTTTTCATCCACTTTGACATTGCCAGAGAATCCATTTTCAATAAGACAATGTTCAATGAGAGCTGATCCATAGGCTATAATAACAGAGGGTATTATTTTTAGCATTTGCCTATAAAATTTAACATCAAAATATAATACAAATTTATGTTCAAAATAAATGATCTACTCAATAACAGTAGCCAGGGAAAATAACAATTAGTTTACTTATTTTGAAATGCTATTAGAAATGACAATTCAAGTACTTAATTAAAATTTGAGACTACAATAAAACTGTAAAAGCCAGTGCAAAAGTTATAGGAATTTAATGAAACTTAGCCACTTATAAAAAAGATTATAAACTAGGAATGCAAGGTTGGTTGAGCATCCAAAGAGTGGTTAATGTAATATACTCCATTAATAAAGAAAAAAATTCCTTATTGTAGGAATAAGTGATGATTTTCTCAAGCATAAAAATTATTGGATTTTCTTTACCCTGATTATCAAAAGTACCAGACATCCTGGGATACCCTGAGCCCCATTAATAATAATAATAATAAAAAAAACCTAAGTGGATATTAAACTGAAGATTCATATTGGGAAAAGAAAAGATTTCTTAAAATACTATAGCTATCATTAGTATTTAGGAGTTTTTTTCATAGCAACATAATTTAGCAACATAATGTTATAGCTAAATAACATACTCTATTAGTTAACTATATTACTTTTAAATAAAATCTAACAGATAAAGGTCAAACTTCATGTGGTATGACAAATTTATCTTTCTTTAAAAATAAACTCTATTTACTCAAAAGATCATTTTAAACTCCTTTCTAAAGTTACCAAGAAGTTCTAATTTTCTACTAGAACTATAAAAGGCTTAAGTAAATTCCTGAAAACTATACTATCTTGCAAACATTTCATTGCTCTATGTAGGATTACTCACGAAGTAATGGGTTAAGAACTCTCTTTAGTAGTTCACCCTTAGGTGCCCTGGTTATTATTTCAGTCAGTCTGTAAAACAAAATTGACAAACCTCTTACTATCTTATATTTAATAATCCCTACAGCAATATTTATACTCATAATGCCACATCAATTCACCTGATCTTCAAATATTCTAAAATATAAGAGGAACTAGTTCATTTTGTAGGTAAGAAAATGTAGGGTCATAAAATTAATTTATTTGAGGTTAGTATACAGCAGACTGGGACCTAAAACCAGGTTTTCTAAGAAAAATCAATACTTTTTTAACACAGTCATATTGCATATCATCAGTGTGCCCATATATGATATGAAAGACACTTTTTATATAACAATTAAATGTTGTTGGTGAAGCCTGGAGATATATCTTAAAACCTGAAATGGCTTTATCTAATTAAACATTTAATAAGAACTCAGGATGCTTGTGGGCCTTTGAAGGCATCAGATTAGCAGTGAACTTGCTAGAAATGTAAAATTCTGAGCCCCACACCAGATTTACTGACTCAGAAATCTGGTTTATCAGGCTCTCCAGGTGATTCCAATGCATGCTAAACTTTGCGAAACACTGTTATAGCCTATTGGGCAGCAAAGCCTTCAGCCAGAAGAGTACAGCTACAATTAGCACCATATATTACCCTGCTCCCTTTTCTTAGCTAAATCAGAATTTCTATATCTTTTTGTACTCTGCCCAAGATATCCATCTATCTTCTCACAGAATAGCTGATAAATCCCCTCACTTTCCCAAGAAATAATAAACATCTGAAATAACACCAAATTTAGACTAAAAAGATACATTTGCTACTCTCAAATAAGGCTTAATTGCTTACATACACATTTATGCAGTTCAAGCAGTCCATATTAGTTTTTTTATGCAAATAAAATATCTTATGTCAGCTCTTTATATTCTTACATATGGCCTATTTTACCTTTTAATACAATATGGAATGAGTTTATAAACAAAACATGTTACCTTTCCAAGGTAAGCAAAGGTTCAACAGCTCTAGCATGATCAACAGGATAGCGTTCACGAACAGCAAATTTAACTTCATCTGACTCATCAGTTCGAAATCTTAGGATATTTAAAATTAGATATTCATAATCTGTAAGAACAATGTTCCCCTATAATAAAATAAAATATAATTTAATGCTTATCCCATATCATTTTTGAAGCTTAAAAACTAGAAAGAAAATGTAGGCTCTTAAAAACCTCATCAAGGCTCCAGAAATGAAATTACAGAAAGCATTTGACCTTGATGACCACCAGCTGAACTTACTGCTGTACTTTCATGAGACAAGTCTACAAACACTGTATCTTATTATGAAAAACAAAACAGATATATATTTCAGAAGCCAAGCAATATCACAGATATTGCTGATTCAGTCCCAGGCCACTGCAATAAAGTATCACAATAAAGTGAGTTGTAATTTTTTTTGCTGGTGGAAGGTCTTGCTTTCAAGTTGCAAAAATCTTAACGTAACATGGGTGAAGTCAAAGTGTCATAAAGCAAGGAGCAATAAAATGAGGTATGCTTATATATTTTCACCTGCACTGTGTCTTTTTAAAAATTTTTATTGATTTTTTAGAGAGAGGAAGGGGGAGAGAGAAGATAAGACACACTCATGTGAGAGTGAAACATGATCGGCTGCCTCCCACATGCGCCCCAATCGGGGATCGAACCCCCAAAGTGTGCACGTGCCCTGACCTAAATCGAACCAGCCACCTTTTGGTGTCCAGGATGACCCTCCAACCAACTGAGCTATGTCAGCCAGGGCGCATTATGTCTTTTAATAGCAGTAGTTACGTGGTAATAAAGACAGTGATACCCATCGTATAAGTAATTCCACAATTGATAATGTTGCCTAATGTAATAACTCAATAAAACAAAAAACTATACACTTAAAGCTATTCACTGCAGTGATTTACAATAAAAAAAAAAAGAAACAACCTAAATGTAAATATTGGGAAAACTGTTAAATAAATAAATTATGATATACAACATAAGCTGTTAACTTATGAAGACTGTAAAAAAAAAGTAGAAAATTGTTTATACTGTCAGATAAATAGCAAGACAAAAAATTTCTGTATCTTAGGAAGTAGAAGGCAAATATAGAGAAAAATGATAATATTTACTAAAGAGTTAAGGTTTAAAAGACTTTTTAAAATTTAATATTGTTACATAATCTTTTCAACCAAATGAACCGAATGGAAATAAAACTGCCCAAAGAATACAACCTTTCAAATTGATTACTGTGAAGACAGGTGTTATTGCATAATTAAAATAGTCACAAATGCCTTAGCAACTACTTAGAAGTTGGTCATAGAAGATGGTAAAGTGGCCCCAATCTCTTGAGGAATGAGTTTGCAAGATAAATGGCTTCAGTAGATGGGAACACCATTCACTTGAGAGAAAGATAACCAGAAGTTGTTACTAGGTGGTAAGAGAGTATATGCACCTACTGCTAAAGGATCTGACTTCAAAGCAACCATGCATGTAAATTTTTAAACACTTATTTAACTTAACCGTTTGGCTGCTGACAAATTTTTTCGGACATATGCTAAAACTGCGGCACTAATTGCACATGTATGGGAAAAAATGTAAAACACTTTTCATACAATAAAGTCACTTGTATTGCTTTGCAACAACAAAAATTAAAAAATACCAATTGTTTACATAAATTTGTTTTAAATAAGAAGAGCGCGATAGCGCTCCTTAGCAGTCAAACGGTTAAAGAACAAAAAATTAACTGGAGAAGGAAAGCAGAGAGCTGGAATAGAAGTCCATATAATGCAGTGATGGCGAACCTATGACACGCGTGTCAGAGGTGACACACGAACTCATTTTTTTGGTTGATTTTTCTTTGTTAAATGGCATTTAAATATATAAAATAAATATCAAAAATATAAGTCTTTGTTTTACTATGGTTGCAAATATCAAAAAATTTCTACATGTGACACGGCACCAGAGTTAAGTTAGGGTTTTTCAAAATGCTGACATGCCGAGCTCAAAAGGTTCGCCATCACTGATATAGTGTCTTGTTCAGGAAGATGTGACTTGAAAAACAGATCTTGCTATAGAGCCTGGCACATAGAAGGTGGGCACAATACTAGTAAATGTCTACTGAATCAAACTGTGCAGTTACCCAGAACACCTGAAAGATTCCAGGAAGGCAGTTACCTCCCTGAAAAGGCTTTCCTTAAACCAAGGTTTCCCAAAAGTATTCTGTAAGATGGCTCTCCCTATTCCCATTAAAAAAAAAAAAAAAAAAAGAATTCTGTGATCAAGTAAGCTTTGGGAATTCTACATAACATATCTTTCTCCAGGAAATGTACATATCACATTATCATATTAAAGAAATTAATAAGTCTTAGAGTTAAATTTTTACCTTATTCTCAAAGTTCCTCAAATTTTTATGACTATGGGACTCATTTTTCTAGGCACACCTATTATTTTATGGAAGTGGTATGCAAGGACATATTTTGGGAAATACTACGCTTGACTCTGATGTACACAATAAAGTACTTTCTGATCTTAACTTACTTTCTCTAGAGCCTTTCCTAATGAAACTTCTTATTACAAATTAATAAACTGGTCCTATCTGGTTTGGCTCAATAGATAGAGCCAAAGTCCCGGGTTTGAGTCCAGTCAAGGGCATGCACTTCAGCTGTAGGCTCAATCCCTGGCCCTGGTCAAGGTATGTGCAGGAGGCAATCAATCAATGTGTCTCTCTCACATCTCTCCCCCTTCCTTCCACTCTCTCTAAAAATCAATGGAAAAATATCTTTAGGTGAGGATTAACAAAGAAATATACAAAACAACAAAAGACAAATTAATAAACCGACTTTCTTAAATGAGTTTGAGTAACAATAGCCTCTTTATCCAAAGCCTGGTCAATTCTAGATAAACGACACATCAAAATCTTTGACATAAAACTTTGAAGATCAAACCCTGGTATAGACAGAGGAAAGAGCAATCTTCAGGATCTATTCTAAGCATCATCAACCAACCTACATCTCTTGATATCACAGTGACTATGAAAATTCCCAAGCACGTAACTATCATATATAAATCCTTAATATCTATTCCAAACTCATCACTAACTGGACCTCTGGAACCTAGACTGTATGCATGCCAATTGCTCAGAAAATTCAAAATAGAAAGATCCTAAATGCCATGGGGTATCCTGAATTCGATCCTGGAACAGAAAAAGGTCATGAGTAGAAAAACTGGTGAAATCCAAACAAAGTTTACAGTGTAATTAATAGTAATGTACCAATGTTAATTTCTTAGTTTTGACAAATGAACCATGGTTATGTAAGATGTTAACATTAAGAAAAACTAGGCAAAAGGTATATAGGAATTTTCTGTATTATTTTTGCAACTTTTCTACAAATCTGTAATTATTACAAGATAAAAAGGTTTAGATTTTTAAAATAATAAAGATTACACAAATTCACTCATACTATTCAAAGAATTTTTAGGTATCATTAAGTGCTAAGTTTAAACTGAAACAGGAAAAACCCCCCAGAAAGGTCCATGTATGATATATAAGCCTTATCCTAGACTGCAAGCATGGAGTAGTCCCCCCTTATCCACAGGGAATAAGTTCCAAGACCCTTTGTAGATGACTGAAACTTTGGATTCTAATTTACTATGTGCCCCCCTACCCAAACACATACCTTTATAAAGTAAGGTAGGGAACCTTTTTTTCTGTCAAGGGCCATTTGGATATTTATCATTTGAGCGCCATACAAAATCATCAACTTAAAAATTAGCCTGCTGTATGTGGTCGAACATTTAATTAACTCTCCCCTAATGCGTTGGCAGGGCCAGACCAAATGATTTTGTGGGCCGTGCCGGGGCCTGTGGGACTGGACGTTCCACACCCCTGATTAAAGGAAGCACTTTTAAGACCTCTCTTTGGCATATTTGAATTGTCAGCATCACTGCTATTATGCTTTGGGGTTGTTATTAAATAAAATACGATACTTGAATACAAGCACTGAGATACAGGACAGTCAATCTGATAACAGAGATGGCTACATATACAGCACAGATACTTGTATGTGCCCCGCCAGCACGGCCAAGGGTGAACCTGAGTCCGGGCGGCTGAAAGGCTTAGAAAAGACAGACAAGAGAATGAAAGCTGGGTCTCGGTAGGACGCTGTTTCTCTGGGAGACAGCGACAATGCCCACAAGCTATGTCTTTATTTTATAGCAGATGCCACGAGGCAGGGTAAGGGCGTCGTGATCACAAGATGTTTACAATGCTACTCAACTGCATGCACCTGAACTCTACCAAGTCTACATCACTCAGGCACGTGGGGCCACGTGTTCGGACCATAGGTTCAAGCTTACAACTACAGCTGTTGGCTATCATTGTGCTGAGAAGGCCCTGCCCTCTGAGCTGGGACTTGCATGTGGCAATGAGAGGACTGTGCCCTCTTATCAGTCCAAGGCTTGAACCTGTCCAAAACACTGTAGGTGCTCCCCACACTTGGAATAAAGCAATGATTCACATTGGCAGGGGAGATTGCCAGAATGGGAAGGCACACAAGATTTCATCATGCTACTCAGAATGGTATGCAATTTAAAACTTATGAATTATTTCTGGAATTTTCCATTTAATATTTTTTGACCATGGTTGACTAGGGTTAACTGAAACCAAGGAATACAAAACCACAGATAAGGGGTAATAAGTGTATTGACCTAAACCTAAGGCATGCCTGCAATTAAATTCTAGAGATGTTAACCCTCAAATGAAAATTTTTTTTATTTTCTTTTGTTGGGGGAGTGGGGCAAGGCAGAGAAAGAGGACCATAAATAGGACACTAGATATGTTACATTAGTATGAGGAATTTATTTGAAATAGGAGTAGTTAAACCTCCCATTTAAAAAAATATATATTTATTTTTAAAATATTTTAAAATTGATTATGGAGAAAGGAAGGGAGAGGGAGAGAGAGAAACACTGATAGGCTGCCTCCTGCATGTCACCTACTGGGAATCGAACCCACAACCTGGGCATGTTACCTGACTGGAATCAAACCAGTGACCACTAAGTACATGGAACAATGCTCAACCAACTAAGCCATACCGGCCAGGGCAAAACCTTCAATTTTAATGCTACCTAATTCTCTATATACTGAGAATATATTCATGAACTATTACTAGATAATCCCAACCACTGTCCTACTGAGAAATAGAGAAACTGAATAAAATACACAAAGCATGCCTTTTAAGAAATAAAAAAAATAGCCCTAACCGGTTTGGCTCAGTGGACAGAGCATCAGCCTGCGGACTCAAGGGTCCCAGGTTTGATTCCGGTCAAGGGCATGTACTTTGGTTGCGAGCATATACCCAGTAGGGGGTGTGCAGGAGGCAGCTGATCGATGTTTCTCTCTCATCGATGTTTCTAACTCTCTATCCCTCTCCCTTTCTCTCTGTAAAAAATCAATAAAATATATTAAAAAAAAGAAATAAAAAAAATGCTAACTGGGCAGGTAACATTTACAGGACCAAAATCTAGAAGAAAACTCAGAAAGGTGAGCCCCATACTTGGGGCTACTTTTCCCCTAGGATCATTTGTCTAAATTCTGATAGACTCACAGGACAACTAAGGGGAATAAAAATTGGAGTTCAGGGCCCAAGCAAAAAGTCTTGGGGGGATGGTGGTGAGGGGTAGACCTGATAAGTTCAGCTATGAGTAGTGAACTCAAAAGTATACATCCCAGAAGAAGGGGTAAACTGGAAATATACCAGCTTTCCTAGGGTCAACTTCTAATCAATTCAATTCCTAACTAAAGTAAGGTAATCTGGAATTGTGCCCTTAGCTAACTGTAAAAGGCAAACAAATATCATCTTTAAATGAAGACATCTTTCCAGGTCTCACAGTATATTTTTCCTACTCAATGCCTGCACACAATAAAATAACCAGGCATGTCAAGAAACAAGACAATGTAATTTAAATCAAAGGAACAACAGACCATAAAAACAGGTAATCAAAACTCATAGCTACAGACAACAAAATGGTGGTTACCAAAGGGGAAAGAGGGTAGGAGGAGGGCAAAGTGGGTAAAGGAGGTCAAATATATGGTAATGGAAGAAAACTAGACTTTGGATGGGAAGCACGAAATTGAGTACACAAATACTGAATTATAATCTTGTACACCTTAAAATTATATATTAGCCAACATTACCCAATAAACCTAAGTCATTTAGAGGTGTCAGATAATAGAGCAATTCCAAATGATACCAAACGATTCTTGCCTGATAGCAATAAATTAGTGAATTGGTAGACAAGTCAAAAGAAAATATGGCTGAATTTCCCAAAACTGATGAAAAATACCAAGTCAAAGATTCTAGAAGCAACATGAACCCCAGTAAGACAATTACAAAGAAAAACTCAACTAGACACATCACAACAAACTACTGAAAACCAAAACCAAAAAATTTTAAGGCTTCCAGATAAAAGGGCCAAATAACCTTCAAAGCAACAGTATGATTGACACTGATTTCAATAGAAACAATGGTTACCAGACAATATACTATTTTTGTAACTGTCAAAAATTTACCTCATTAATGGCAAAACTGGTTCTAAGAGAAATGTCTCAATTGCTTATGACAAATTACTAGACGTGAAATTCCTGAGTCAAAGGTTATGTACATAAACATTAAAAATCATCTTATATACTATCAAATAATCTTCTGCAAGTGTTCTTATCCATTTTTGTTCCTCTACATTTATGGTAATACTGGTTGTCAAACTTTCTAATTGTTTAATTACATACTAGAGGCCCAGTGCACAAAATTCATGCAGGGGATGGGGATTGGGGGGGAGCACACAGGGGTCCCTCAGCCCAGCCCATGTCTACTCACAGTCCGGGATCCCTGAAGGGATGTCCACCTGCTGGCTTAGGCCTGCTCCCCAGGGGATTGGGCCTAAGCTGACAATCACACATCCCTATGGCAGCCCAGGAGCCCTTGGGGGATGTCTGAGGAGGTGGGAGAGGCTCCAACCACCACTGCTGTGCTCACAGCCATCAGCTTGTGGCTGAGTGGAGCTCCCCCTGCGGGAGCACACTGGACCACTGACTCCTAACCGCTCACCTGCCTGCCTGCCTGATCGCTCCTAACCACTCTGCTTGCCTGATCACCCCTAACTGCTCTCCCCTGCTGGCCTGATTGGCCCTAACTGCTCTCCCCTGACGGCCTAATCGCCCCTAACCGCTCTGCCTGCCTGCCTGATCGCCCCTGCCTCTGCCTCAGCTCCTGCCACCGTGGCTTTGTCCAGAAGGATGTCTGGAAGATGTCCAGTCTATCTGGTCTAATTAGCATATTACCCTTTTATTAATATAGATTGGCTGAGAAAAAAGGAAGTATGAGGAAGGAGAAAAATATCCTGTTTTTTTATATTTCAGTAATTCATGAATTTAGGCATGTACTCATGCTTTTATATTTGTATTTATTCTTTTTTGAACTGTCTAATCAAGCGCTTTGCCTTTTTCCACTTAAGTGCTTTATGAAAATTGCATACATAGGGTCATGCACATCTTTTTATGGCACAAGTTAAAATATCTTTCCCCAGCCCTAGCTGGTTTGGCTCAATGAATAAAGGATTAGCCTGCGGACTGAAGGGTCCCAGGTTTGATTCCAGTCAAAGGCACATAGCTGGGTTGCAGCTCAATTCCCAGTTGGGGGCGTGCAGGAGGCAGCTGAGTGGTGAATCTCTCATCATTAATGTTTCTCTCTCTCTCTCCCTCTCCCTTCCTCTCTGAAATCAATAAAATTAAATATGTATATCTTTTCCCAGTTTTTCATCTTCCAATACAGTTCAGTGTTTTCTGCCTTATGCAGTTCTAGAATTAGTAGTCCTCTCTATTAGTACTTGTTTCCGGTGTTAGGTTTAGAAGTCTTTTTCATCCCAAATTCACCAATGTTAATCCATATTTTTACATAGTACTTCTATGGCTTCACTTTTTACATTGAAAAAATGTTTTTAAATCAATTGTGGTTTGGGTGAATGATGTTTGCACTCCTTCTAAGTGGCTAATAGCACTTTTCTGAATACTCTGTTGATACATCCTACACAAGTCTGCTAAACAGCATGAGAACATGACTTCTATGATTCCTTGTTTACATATGTATAGCATTTAAGAACACAAATTTATTCAAAGTTGTACAAAGCTGTGGAATTATTCATGTTGCTCTTCTAGGCATTAATATACAGAGAAAGCTTGCTGAAGTTTGGGACTCTGAATTATTAGTAATCTCTATGAATAATGCAACCCTACCTTGACATGGGACATATATACTTTTTTTAAAATATATTTTTATTGATTTCAGAGGAGAGGGAGAGAGAGATAGAAACATTAATGATGAGAGAGCTCACAACCCAGGCATGTGCCCTGACCGGGAACTGAACTGTGACCTCCTGGTTCATAAGTCAACACTCAATCATGGAGCCACGCCAGCTGGGTGGAACATACATACTTCTAAGAAAGACTTTATATAGAATTATTCGTAGAAGATGGCTGGTTTACTAGCTCCATGAAATGTTAGTTTTGGGTAGTAGAAAAGTGAGTAGTGATGATAGGATTCTTTGGCCTGTGGAAAGACCTGCAAGGTACTCACTTGATCACCTGTCATTTCCAGTTTTCTGAAACATAAAATTGTACCATGTATTTTTCTTTATTGCTTCTAACCCACTTCTCAGTAATTTCTGTCTTCTGAAATGGTCTCTCAGTTTTTGTGGGTTAACAATGTGTCTACTGATCTTTTTTCATGAGCAATTAGTCTTCCTTTCTGGTTGTTTTCTCTTTGTCTTCTGTGTTCTCTAGTTTTATTAAACTAGGTCTAATATTTCTATTCAGAGCCCCTATTTGCATTTTTAAAATTTTTTTCTATTGTTTTCAGAGAGAGGAAAAGGGAGAGAAACATCAATGATGAGAGAGTCAGTAATCGGCTGCCTCCTGCAAGCCCCACACTGGGAATGGAGCCCAAAACCCGTGCATGTGCCTAGACTGGAAATTGAACTCTGACCCCCCTAATTCATGGGTGGACGCTCAACTGCTGAGCCACACCAGCCAGACTATTTGCATTTTTTGCTCACCACTCCATAGGAGCATGACAAAGATCTTCCTTAAATTAGACTTATTTTCCTGAAGTTAGGTTTATAAAAATTAAACAATATTCTTGATATTATTTCAACTATATATCTCCTTCCTGTCATTCTAAAGAGTTGAAAATATTAATATCATACAAAGGAAACATAAGCGTGGTTAGGCCTTATGTTTCATCTCCAGTCCCAGCCCTGACAGTTGGGTTTTCTCTTTTTTTGTAATGAAAGTACCTAACTTAAGCTTTGGTTGCAAAGGCATCTATTTCAAAAAAGCATCCACTTCAAAGATGGCTACACATCCAGACACATGACTAAATCAAGAGCCAGGTCACCTTGCCTCACTGAGGAGCCTTTGTTTTAGAGACCTTGGTTGATTTTGATAACTGACCATTGAACCACTAGTTTTTTTCTCTTCCTACATTATAATTCCTCCTCTTATACATTTAAATTTTTGATGCATATAGAATTTATTTTGCTGTAAATGGCTCATAAAATAGTTCCAAGAAAGAATTTGGTGACTAGTGGAATAAGTGAGAGGCAGGGAGCAAGAATGGTGAACACATCAGCATTCTTCCTCTTAGGACTGATGACACTATGAAAACATGGCAATGTCCCTGAGTCTCAACTGCTGTCTTATTTATGACACAACTATGTATTTTCTGATTGCATCACAGTAGTCCTGAAATGTAACAGATGATGTCCTCAATTCTCAGATCTTCATCTCCTACGTTCATAATGCCATTTTAAATGGCTGAGATCTGCCTAAATTCTAATCTTCAGTTAATAACTGGAAAACTGTATTTAACTTGTTTGGCATTTATTATCCTAATGTATCAATAATAGCCTTTGATACAGAAAAAATGTTTCCCCGCCGTTTTACAGCACTAATATATGAATAATTAACAATATAATGATGAATTCTCCCTCTCCCAATGCCCCAAATTTAACTTACCCTATCATAGAGTTCAATGATTAAGTGATATGCAGCTTCATCACTTCCAAATTGAAAATCTACAATTCTATCCACACCAAGCTGTTTTGCACTGACTAATCTCCGACTCTTCAAATGTTTTCGGCACTAGTAAGAAACAGAAGAAAAATGCATTTATACTAGTATAGTTAATTCCTAATCATTTGGTATTGGATTATAAATATGTTTTTTTCTTTCCATTAGCATCAGGAATACTTTTAAAGTTGCAAATAAAACAATATAAAATAAAAGCTTGCAGGTAATAAGAGGGAAAACATTTTGGTTTAGACAACTCTAAATGCTAACTCTGAAACAGTATTTTATATTCAATATTTAAGTAGATAATAATAGGCCCATAGTGAAATTTACTTGTTGTTTTATACCACTGCCAAATCCCTTGTTCTCAACCTGATGACTTCACTCAAAACCATAACCTTTTCGTTTTTAAAGAGAGGAAGAGTGGGGGAGAGACGAGAGAGAGAGAAACATTGATGTGAGAGAGGCACATTGATTGGTTGCTTCCTGCACTCACCCAACCACAATCGAACCTGCAACCTAGGTATATGCCCTTGACCAGAGTCGAACCCTGGACCCTTCAATCCTCAGGTAGACACTCTATCCACTGAGCCAAATCAGCTGGGGCAAAAACATTTTTTTTTTTAAAGTCTCTTTCTACTCCAATCTTTTAAGTATCCCAAATTTACTTTTGTGTGTTTGTGTTCAAAATTAATTAAGTTTCCATTAATCTTCCACTTCAAATACAAATTCTAAACCATGAGCTTATTGGTATTGTAGAAATTAGTCCTCCAACTTATGTCCAATTACCCGCTATTGCCACAAACTTTATTGATATAACCCAAGTAGAATCTTCTGGTACTATCTCCAAGCTTTTGCTCAACCTAGCTGAAATCCAAATATAATAACTCCTATTGATTATGAAATCTCCTTCCTCACATCCCTAGTCATAAAGTTATTGTTCTTATTAGCAATTAGAATAAAATTAGCATATTAAACCTGAATACAAATTACTTGATAAATACCATTTATTTTAGATTACTTGTACCATTGTTCAGTACAAATATTTAAGTACTAGAGGCCCGATGCACAATATTTGTGCAAGAGTAGGCCTTTAAGGCTGCAGCATCGTCCGGAAGGTCATGTGGACAGTCGTTACGCTGTTTGGCCGTTCGGTCAATTTACATATTATACTTTTATTATTATAGATATGGAGCAGAAATAAGACTACTCTGTAGCCCCTAAAAAAAAATCTTACAACTGTATCTGTGTGTGTGTGTGTGTGTGTATGTATATGTATATGTATATGTACACATACATATGTACCCACTCCCATTTTCTCTCCCACTCTTCCCCTAAAGATCAATGGGAAAAATATCCTCAGGTGAGGATTAAATAATTTTTAAAAAAAAGTAGAGTTAAAATGACCATAAAAGGCATCCTTGTGAGGAACAAAAGTTGGCACCATGGAATGGTGAAAAAGGGATTATTTATCATGAGTATGTGTGGACACAGAGTACATATGTAAATCCTGTTTTGTTTGCTTATTTTCTTATTAGCAGCTTGGTGAAAACAACCTTTCACCCACTGAGCAATAGCTGGCATCCCCAAATGTGAGAACTAGAGACAAACACTGTGATTTACCACGTACTGGACATGGCCCTGCCTGTATCATACAACAATAACAGCTCTTTAAGTTATCTATAAAGTGTTTAACATTGTCTGCTCCATTAGAGGGAATCTTTCTATACATTTAGCTTGACATGTACACCTAACTCAAAAATTCTAAGTTTTCTTAAAGTGTTTGAGGTCCCATTGATACTGTAGCTTAATTTGGGAATGTTTACACAATTATATCCTATTGCTTATTACATCATCTGCAAAACTAAATGTTCTTCATATCCACTGAGTTGTTAACTTAAATGAAATATGCATTACCCATCTACTTTTAAAAGTGCTACACAAACATAAAGTGGCATTACTAGTAAGGATAATCTCCAAAAGACCCATTTTGGACTATTAAATAAACTTTTAGGAATTTGATAATTTTATGACAGCCCTTGTGATCTGGGAAGCACTTACCTAACTTGCAATCCAAAACAGATTCTAAGTTGCTGGGGATAAGGCTCTTCTCTGTAAAGCCTCTAATGAAATAACACAATGCCAAAACAAATAAATTTCTGAAGGAAAGTGAGGAGGAGAGGAAGAAGGAAATTAATACATATGGATGCCTAATATGTGTCAGGCATTGTGTTAGATGCTTTACATGTTACTTCAATTCATCCTCACCAATAACCCCATGAGGGAGGTATTATCCATATTTCACATTCAAAGAAACTAAGTTCCAAGAGGTTAAATAACTTTTCCAAATTATAAAATGAGTGGCAAAACCATTAATTCAAAGTTAAGTATATCTGATTCGAATGAATACCTTTCCTCTGTGTCACATGAACTTTCAGTATATCTGTTATGTCAATAAGCAAATGAGTAACATGTCCACAATGCAGAATCCCAGTTTAATAGTACAAAGAAAAGCAAGGAGAAAAGTAAAAAAATATAATAATTGTTAACATACCAATGTCACCAAGTATTCCAACAAAATGCAGATTGATAGCTCAAAAGTGAGCTATGGAAGACAAGACTAGGAAAAGGCAGAGTGGGGAAGGTGAGGAACAGATCATGGAAAGCCAAGAACGCTAAGACATGGGATATTCAAAAATTAGGGAATCCTAAAACGTGAGGTAACTAATGAAAAAGATGCTTTCAAAAAAATTAATCTTGGTCCAATACAGAATTGTTGTGATACACGAAATAGATTTATAGTTAAGGGACGACAAGGCTGAACATTACAAAAGCTTGAACTTGAATACTGACTGTGGGAACAGAAAGATCTGGAGCACAATTGGGTGTGATGGGTAATAAGGAGAAGTGAGGAAACATCCACTTTATTCATTCCAGTGTCCATCAACTACTCTTACCTTTATTTTTATCTCTACTTTAAAACTTCAACTGCTAGTGACCAACCTCAGGGCCTTAAAATTTACTTTCAAGTATAAGTTAAAATTTACCTTCATGGCAAAACTAGACGGCATCATATTCTTAGGCCACTCAAATTCTGTTGTGTGAATTCGTATGCCAGATTCAAGTAAAAGTGTTGCTTTAAAGTCTGGTCTGTAGAAGAAAAAAGTCGATTTTTTCTTTAGAGCATTTGCCAATGCTAACTCAGTGAAACAGACTAAAAGTGCAGGTAAAAAAAAAAATCAATCTCATTTAATCACAGAAGATAAAACAAGCCTTACTTTTGAAGACGAATAAGATACGTCTTATTATCCACATCGTAAACATTGTTTACTCGCATTCCTAGCAAGCTGCAGAGAGAAAGGAAACAGGTAACAAATCACACTACCATCCAAAACATAAACCTTCCCACAATTTAATGCTGCCGGGGAAGCAGAGTCCACGGAAGAGGGGACTTCAGGAAACTCCGACTCGGAAGATACAGAGTCAACTAAGGAGCAAAGTCCGAAGGCCATCATGCTTTCAGTTCAAAACTTAAGTGTCACCAAGAACAAAAGTGGTCCATCAGTCCTGGGAACACCATACAGTGCCTTGTGACTTTGAAATGACCCAATGTTTTTTAGGAAAGGCAGTCTAGTCCACTTAATTTACTGCAAGAGAAAAAAAAAAATTAAAGGGGGGGGGGGGGAACAAGGCCCTGGGAAATATGACAAAGCTCACACAGCGAAGGAATAAAAAGCCAGGCTAGAGTCCAGATCTGTCACCTCGGCTGACGGCGAGGCTCCCTCTGTTCCGAGAGAAGAGTGTCCAAGGAAACGGGCCTCCAGCCTGGGAACCTCTGAAGCAAATGACTTACTCTGGCGTCTCGGCGTCCACCCGGCGTCTCGTTTTTTACTAAATGTTAGCTGCCCAGCCTAGACGACTGAGGCCGACGAAGCGAGGGCCGCGATGGCCGGACACC